CTGTTCTCTTTGCCTAGAGAGTTTACACCTTCTGTGTTCCTTTACCAATAGTCTAACTGGGTATGAAGAGGGAATGAAAATCAACTTATGTATCCAATTGGCCATGTTAACTACAGGGCCACTGGCCTCATCATCTATGAAATGAGGGGTTACAGTGGATAAACTTAAAGGCATTTTCCTTCACTAAAAATCTTTGCTCCTTTGTATGGTTTAGATTTAATGTAATTCCCAGCTGATCACAGCTAGATTCTTTATCACTTAGCTCAGTCTCAGAATAGTAGTGATTATTTTTGCTTTTGTTGTTTTGAATCTCTTTGAGCAAGAGACCTATGGTGTAGCAAATTATACCTCGTGTACAAATTAGAGTAAACTGAAAAACACAGGTGACTTTTGTTCCCTTCTGCATCACAAAAGACCTTTTCAATACACCTGATTGATTGTAAAGGAAACTCCACGAGCACATGTGAGCTACTGGGACTCTGCTGATAGTAATTTGGGTGCTATAGTATTTATCATGCTGTGCTATTTGGCAAGTAGGAAGCTTTTAAACTTTTTGCTCTTTCAAAAAAAAAAAGGTCCTAAAAGAAGATGATACAAAAATTTGAATTAGGGAGAAGTTTCCTTTCTATGGTTTCAAAGTTCTGCTCTGTCTGGAGAATGTCTTGATAAATCAGTAAAAATCGTGTTTTTAAGATGGCTTAGGTCAGATTTTTGTCACTTAATCTAAATGCAGAAGGGTACATTGTCTTCCTCTCTGGATCTCCACCAGGTGGGCTGACACTTTATACGTACAGCCTCAATGTCTGTCCCTATTTGCTGTGGTCACTAGAATTAACGATTAACTCTAATGTGTTCTATGTTGGTATCCAGGAGAGAAACTTCCACAGGATAATGAATATTTCTAAGAGGGTGGGTTATATGGCATTTGAAATAAATAACAGCTTCTTAGGGTTTGGTGTAATCCATTGCATGTGGTTTTTGTTTGTTTCAGTGTCAGGGCATAGGGGATGGGAATACATCCCTCAGAAAGTTTTCAATTAAAACAGGAATCCTAAATAATGAAAGTAAGGGAGACATTAACAGTTTTTTTCCTCTAATACTCCCAATTACTTTGGACATAAAATATGATTAAAGGTTTGTAGAAAAAGAGATTAATGCATCAATATTGACAATTTTGGGTTCATCAGTGATGCAATCTGAAAAACATTTATTTCATTTGGAATTAGTCTCTCCCCCAAATAATTCTTACCATATTTGGAGTGGCTTTTTTAATCATAGTAATTATGGCATATGCTGTTGGTTGACTACCCAGAGACTTGCCTTCCTTTATCCTTGCTACCACCCAAATTTTATTCAGGTAAAAAGTGGCCATCTTCTTCAGGGACTTTGGGATCTTCTGGGACTCTGGTGTCCCAAGTCCAAGGGCTAATTCCTGATAGGTCTCAGGCAGCCATGGTTCTTTCATCCCCCTTGCCATTGACTGGCGTAGGACTGAGCATGGGATGTGATTTTGGCCAGTGAAATGTGAGGTAAAGTCCACAGACTGGCGTTTGGGAAGGTAATCTCTGTTCCAGATGAAGGACCCAGAGAAGGGCTTTGTCATGTGTGAATATGATGTTCGGTGCAGCCACAGCCGTTTTGCAGCTACGAGTAGATGTTCTTAAGGACCTCAAGGAGGATGGCAGAATAGAAAGACAAAAGGAACCTGAATATTGATAATGTTGCCAAGCAGGTGACTTGGTTAATCCGGAACAGTATCATCTTTGAACTTTGCATTCAGTGGAATAATACATTTCTTTATCATTTAAGCCATTTTTAGCTGGTTCTTCAGTTATTCAAAGCTGAAATAATTCCAATACAGTAATAAAAACAAACTTAATGCTTTAACTCTTTGGACTAAGACTTTTCTTCTATTCTTTCTCCATATGTGAGAAAAGTATGAAATAAAAAATAAAAATAAAGAATTGCAAATGTGAAAGGATCACAGAATGTCAGCACTGAAAGAGACTTTAATAAATTATTTAAGAAACATCTACTTGTTGAGATAGAATTGTGCTAGATCCAGGATATAGCAGAGAAAGAGACATAGTCCCGGCTTTTTTGGAACTTATATTCTAGTGGATCTTAGAGAGTATTTGATCTAATCTTATTACACAGAAAGGGACAACTTTTATATCATTCAGGGTTGGTGTAATTGTTTGGTTACTTAGTAAGAGGGTAGATCCTATTGGAGGAAAGGCTATATACCTTTGTGGTTCCTTTTGCTTTTGAACATGTAGCTAGCTCTTTTGCTTGTCTGACTACCTGAAGGTTTTGGTTATCTAGGGCTGGGCCTGGAGCTGAGTCTGGGTATAAGGGGAGAAGAGAGCTGAATCTCTGTGCATGATGGAGTAAGAGGAATTTAGAATTAGTGTGTGTGTGTGTGTGTGTGCATGCATGTGCACGTGTATGCATGTGTTTCACACACACGAGAAACAGCAAGATAGTCAATGTCTGGGTGCTAATTGAAGTAGGGAAACCACTGAGAAATCCCCTGTGTCATGGTGGCCAGAAGGACTTTTAGGATGAGATGACTACTATGAAGTTGTTAAGTTATTTCCTGTGTCATGCAGGAATGTAACTCTCTGACAGTGACCTAGAAAACTTCAGTGAAAGTTTTGCTACACATCACAGGCTTTGTTCCCTTGTCGCTTCAATGGGGAATCAGGGAGATAAAGGATTGACCTCAAGGCATAGAGCAGAGAATGGGATTCAGCAGAGGTAGGAAAATATACCTCATTCTTCATCTTCCTCTCTCTGGGAACTTTACAGACATCTTGAAGAGGTCTCTGCACTTAATACTGGTTGTGGAATGGGATGTGAGCTCTTTAATTTACCTCATTAGGGACATCGGGATTAGAGTCCTACCCCACTGATGGCTGCAGGACTCCTCAATGAGTGATTATTCACTTATTAGGAGTTGCCTTCTCCTGTAGATAGTAAGCTCCTTGAGGCCAGGGGCCATGTCTGTTTTATCAATTAAGTTCACACTGGGCAGTGTTTTGCCCCCCAAATAAGTATTCAATTAGGAATTATTAAATAGTTCCCTCCTAATAGGGAAAAACTATCATTTACATATTCATCGTCTCCCCTCTGCCCTCAGCTTGCTGAGGGGAAGCAACCAAGCCCCTCATGCTGCCTCCCCCAGCGTAATGATGTGTTGCCAGGTGGGCTCCTGGGCCAACCACTGACTGCTTGTGGATGATAGGGAGACCGGAGAAGTTGGGAGAAGCCTGCCAGGTTGGCACTGGAAATATCAGAGAACTACCGACAAGAGAAAAGTAGTAGATTCAGACAGTGGGAAGGGAGACAGAGAAGACACTTTGTGGGAGCTGAGTCTGAGAGGTTTCAGGAGCTTGGAGACGGAAAAGAGGGTCCCTGGGGGCAGGTGCAAGGCCTATGAAAGCACACACAGAAAGGAGATTCTTCTGTAGGCAAAAACTGGCAGGAAGAGCTGGTTTCCATCATGTTTGCTGTGTGTTAACAGTGGGATCTCTGGACAATTTTAATAGATTTCATAGAGATAAAAAATTGCTTCTTGGTTATTTCTCATTTATTTCTTTGAATGAGACTCCAGGCTAGGGCTGACTTCAAGATGAGAAGAGGCCAACCTGGCTTTATGTGGGGTACACCCTCATGTAGGAAACTGAGTTTCAAGCTTCGGTGCCCTCCACAGTGCTCCCAAGCCCTCATTAGGAGAGCAAAGATTTGTAGCAAAGAATCGAAACTGCAGTAATCTCAGATTGCATGCCATCCAGTCTGGTAGCTAAATATGGGCAGAATTAGGACTAAGGACTAAAATGAGGTATGTTCTTATATTTTTTCTTTAGTAAAGAATGGTGTTAGAAAGTGCGCTGCGAGAGAAGAACATTCCATTTTGGGCCTAGTCCAGAAATATGCACGAGGGTCATTTAGACTGAACTTATTTTCCATTTGAGTTAATCTGTGGGTAGCAAGTCACTCCCTGTTACCAACCAGATCCTTCTAAGGATCTTAAAATATTCAAATTGGTTTTTTTTTTTTCAACCCCCTGAGACTCAAGAAAAGTCACATATTAGGCCAGAGTCTAAGTTACTCCTCCCTGCTGGACCTTGGTAAAACAATGGCATTCCTCCTTGTTGGGAACACAGGCCTGTGGTTTCAGCTGAATTAACTGGTTTAAACTAAATGGAATCTTAGATACAAAGTTTCATTTCTGAGAGGCTATGTTCCATTCCGTGGCTAGGAGAGAAGGCTCTTAATTCAATTTGGTGATAGGTGAGATCTTCCTGAGAGAAGCAGGGGTCCCAGAGGTCGCAAATGTTCTATAGCTCAGTGCTGGTTTCAGGGCGGGGGGTGGGGCGCTGTGTTCTTACAGAGGCCACCCTAGAGACTTTCAGAGGACCAGATGCTTCATTCAACAAACTGCACATGGGGGCCCCAGCTATTCCTTAGCTGCCTGTTTCCATCTTTCTTTTCTTTTTCTTTTTTTTTTTAAGATTTTATTTATTTGTTTGACAGAGAAAGACACAGCGAGAGAGGGAACACAAGCAGGGGGAGTGGGAGAGGGAGAAGCAGACTCCCCGCCGAGCAGGGAGCCCGATGCGGGACTCGATCCAGGGACTCCAGGATCATGACCTGAGCCGAAGGCAGTCGCTTAACCAACTGAGCCACCCAGGCGCCCCATTTCTTTTCTTTTTAAAGATTTTATTTATTTATTTGAGAGAGAAAGAGAGCACAAGCAGGGGGAGTGGGAGAGGGAGAAGCAGGCCCCCGCTCTGAGCAGGGAGCCTGATGCAGGACTTGATCCCAGGACTCTGGGATCATGACCGGAGCCTACGGCAGAGGCTTAACAGACTAAGCCACCCAGGTGTCCCTGTTTCCATCTTTCTTATTGCTCACTTCTAGGAGGTGAATGAGAAACTGTCTGTGGCCACGTTAAGGTGGAAGGATAAGGCATTTCTTTCTTTTTGTTGTTGCAGGTGTTTTAAAAACCCTAGGCCTGACGCCACCTGTCAGGAAGTGCACACTCTGACATCTCTCACAAGTGCCGCAGGGAGGAGGTGGGATGCCCAGCAATGACCCGACAGGAGGTGTGATCCCTCTGGAAGCATCTGGAAGCTTCCAGACGCTGTGCTCCTCACTGGGCTCAGGTGCTGAGTGTCAAGCTGATGAGCCTGACAGGTTATTCAGGACCACATTGGGTTATCCAGAGGAATAAAAGCACAACAAACTGACTGGGAACCCTTGATGTCTGGGAGAAACTCACTGTCGGCACCAGCCAGCCGCTGTCCTGCCGCATTCTTGTCTGCCTGAAAGAAAAGAAAGGAAGAACTCATGATTCCAAACTCATGGCCTAGTACTGGCGGCTACTTGGGAGCATGAGAAATGCAGAAAAAAAGGAGGAACTCAAATGCACAGGTATGTGTTTGGAGAAGTGGTTGCACTGCCTTGGTGTGGAGAGTATCTGTGAAAGGCTAAAGATGTGGTATGAATTTGTGTCTTCAGTGTGAGCTGACACAAAGCTCAAGGGACCCATTCACTGTGCCTGGTCTGCCACCCTTGCACCTGTGGGAATATGGGTGCTTGGGGTTACTGGCTTCGGGCACACAGCCAACATTTACAGTGTGGGCAATGGAATGCCCAGACCAGTGCCTCTTATCATGGACTTGGAAGAAATTCTATGAAAAATCTGAAGTTTTTTCAGAAGTTGCTTAAACCTCGATGACTTTCCTAAATGCAAAACTATTGCATGCATATACACACGCATGCACACACACACACACACATGCTCACACACACTTCCCCCAGGTGCAGTGCATCTTTACTTATCTGTTTTCCATCCACTCAAAAAGGGGAGAGAATACCGTATAGATGGGATGAATCAAATGGGATTATTTTAAAATGCATTCCCCCTCCCCTTCTGCAGGGGATTGAGGAGGATTACATGCAGCTTTCGTGAAATGTCTTGTGCTCCTCTCTGGGAAAGGAACTGTAAATGTCAAGTCATCAGTCTCCGTGACAACAGCTCACACAGGTACAGGGCAGAGCCAGCAGGGAGGGGAGAGCAGCATGGGCCCATGCACAAGTGTCACCTGCAGTTACAGAGACCACGGCCCGGGCAGTCCAGCATCACCCACAGATGGAGAGGTGAAGACAGTTAGGGATGGGGGGAAATGGGTGGGGGGCCTGGTGACACCCCAGAGTTACAATCCCCCCCCCACAGAGGGAACGGCACAGCAGAAGCAGCAGGCTTAGTATATGCAACCCCCTAACCCCTTCTCCAACTCCAGCCCCAGAGGCCTCATACCCACTTGGTGTTAACAGCTTTTTAAACCCTGATGTGCTCGCAAGCCACTTGGAGATCTTGTTAAAATGAACTTTCTGATTCAGTAGGTTGTCAGGATAGGGCCCAAGATGCTACGTTTCTAACAGACTCCTGGATGATGCCCACGTTGCTGGCCAGACACCATGCCCTGATTAGCAAGGTGTGAGGAGAATCTCGGGTCACAGGCGTGCTCTGGGGCACGCAGCTTCAATTCTGCACAAAGATACGCAAATACATTTGAGTCGCGCTTCACCTCGCTAGTGTCAGGAGGAAATTGTCCAGGTAACTCCGAAATCTTTTGGATTTAGAGTGCTTTGGATGATGAAAAATTCTCTCTCTCTCCAGCTGACAGCGGATGTGGGCTGTTCAGATTTATATTGGGATGACCTAGCAATTCGTGAGCACACACAAGTTGAGGGAATGAGTATGCTGGGCGGCAGGGGAAGGTGAGCTTGGCAAGCACACTGGCCAAGGACCATCTACAAAGTGCGCTGCCCACATGTGCATACTTGGGAACTGGGCTTTGCAATGGAGGCTTGCCCTCTGGTTGAGCACGAGAAGGGAAATTAACCCAGGGCTCCTAAGTTCTCCTCACTCCCCCTGGTTTCCCAAAAGGAAAAAAGAACTTGAATAGGTAGGAAGAAATAGAAAATGACAGCAAGAGAATGAAAGTCAAAAGACTGCTTGGGTTTCTATTTTTATTTTTTTTATTCTTGAGAGGAGAGAAGAATAAACTCCCTAAGATGAATCAAGAAGAAGAACATTAAAAGAAACAAAAAAACAACAACAAAAAAAAAAAACAAAGGAAAGAAATGCGTGATGAAGAGAGGAGGGAAATCTCCTTGGTAGATAAAAGAGATTTGCCAAATATATTACATTCATTAAGATTTTTCTCTGCTTATCATGTGTGCTTTTTGGAGGCTTTTCTTAGCATTAACGGATGCTCTGGGAGAGGAGAAAGTTGGCAGAGAGAAGCCTAGCAAATATATAAATAAGCTTCGGAGCTTCCAGAAGTTTCATATCCCACAATAGAACGTTCTCCAGGCTGCACAAACTTTTTCTTACTTAAACAAATGCTTTGAAAGACAAAGATTTCATATCGTCAGAGGAACATTCAGACCAATAATTGCCTTTGTTCTTCCTGCCTTGAAGTTTCAACAGCCAGCAGATTTATGATTCACTTTCGGCAGTAAGCTCCTTCAAATAAATGTCACTTTCCCAGGCTGCAAATTGAGTTTTTGCAAACACAGGATCGACTTCACTAAGAGGAACTAAGTTTTCTTGTGGTGTATGTATATATGATTATGAAACACCACTTGCTTTCTTCCCCTCTTCTGGAGGGGAATGGATTAGAAACTATATTTAAAAAGGAGCCATTTTTAATGGTCAATGTACTACCAGTGAGATTTTGTAGAAACTTTTGTTGGGGGAGATGGGGTTGGAGTGGGAAGGGGACAGAAGGCAGTCTGACCTTTCTCTTAGGTTTATGGACCTCAGAAATTTTGTGCAGTCTAAGGTTGTGGACTTTAAGCTGGTTTACTTTGTGGGTGGGGCAAGATAATTCCAAAAATTTTAAGGTAAAGGAAATAATACAAGCAAGTACAGATGGAAGAATTAAAGTGAGGGTTATGGACCCCAACTGTTGGAATCAAGACTCTTTCAGAGCAGCCAGTCTTGTATCAGTGCTGTTTAGCTGCTAGTGCTAACTCAGTGGACATGATTGGATTCCTTACATATGCCAGGTAGTAAGGGTGCCAGGGGAGGTGAGCCGTGGTGCTGATACCCACCTAGATACCTTTAAGAACAGAGTAGAAGAAACACAGTAAGCTATGGGATTGCCAAGGATGCCCAACCTGCGGCGTGGAGGAGGATGCCAGGCCCCCAAAGAGTCTTGCATTACTTTGGGATGTGGCAGTCACCTAGGTCCTTGTCCACATGCATTAAGCAGGGTAGAAGGTGATCATGCCCCTTTCAGTAGACCCGTGACACCTTTCTTTGGCCTGTCCCCATGACACTGCTCCCAGTTCTGTCTGGATTCCGTTCTCTGTCCCTTCCCCAGTTTGAAGTTTGTGTGGTAACTGCTGCCTTCCTGATAATGATTCTTTTTTTTTTTTTAAAGATTTTATTTATTTATTTGAGACAGAGAGAATGAGAGACAGAGAGCATGAGAGGGAGGAGGGTCAGAGGGAGAAGCAGACTCCCTGCCGAGCAGGGAGCCCAATGCGGGACTCGATCCAGGGACTCCAGGATCATGACCTGAGCCGAAGGCAGTCGCTTAACCAACTGAGCCACCCAGGCGCCCATTCCTGATAATGATTCTTAATGGAGAACTGAATGGGTTCATGGTGCCAGCCCCTTTAAAAGATATATGTTCCTGATACAGGTATAATTGCCACATTACAGAGGGGGGAATTGAAGCTTACAAAATTTAACTGAATTGCCCAAGTTCACACAGCTGGTAGTTGCTAGAACATGGATTAATTACTTTACTATTATTATTGTTTTATGTCAGCTCTACACCTAACATGGGGCTTGTCCTCGAGACCCTGAGCTCGAGTCATACGCTCTGCTGACCTGGCCAGCCAGGTGCCCCTAGAACATGGATTTAAACTCAGATCTGGCTGATCCCAGGACCTGTAGTTTTGGCCGTTAGTCCCAACAATAACAGTTTAACATTTTCTGGACTTAATGTGCCAGGCACATAGTTCTAATTATGATTTAATTTGCTTACTCTTCACATGAATCCTGTGAGGGTATCAGCATTATCATTCCTGTTTCACAAATGAGGAAGCTGGGCTCCTGTGTGACTAACTTGTCCAAGGTCACACAGTTGGTAAGTCAGGGAGCCTGGATCAAAGCTCAGGTAGGCTGGCTCCAGAGCCTGCACCCTTAACCATTGCGCTCCTATATGCCAAGACCCTACGTGGGTCTGTTCTCTTCTTTAAGGTCTGAATACAGACTTTGGTTCCCCTACTTAGACTTTTGAACTTGTCTGCTTCCTTTGCTATGTCAGACCCATCATCACATCCACAATTTCTGGTCTAAGTATCCCTGTCTGTTCCTTCACTTTCCCTCAAACATGTACTGAGCACCTATGTGTTCCAGGCACTGTATTGAGCACTTGGGAGCTGCAGATCAATGCCCAGAAATATTTACTTAGAGGAATGATGGACCCTTTTCTGAAGCCAATGACAATCCAGTGGGGGAGACAGACAAGCCAGCAAAGTGTTGCAGTGCCATATAAAAACACTGTGAGGGAGGAAAGTATGAGTGCTCCAGTGACCTCAGAGAGGGTAGGGTCTAGCTCTGTGCAAGGTGAGGAGACCCCTCAGATGAGGCATTATTTGAAAAGAATCTTTAAAAAGCAGGAGTTCACAAGGCAAATGAGGGAGGAAAAAGCAGATCTTAAGTCTGTTTTTTTTTTTTTTTCCTTCTCTCATGTAGGGTTGAAAGAGGTTGGTGGCTTGTTTGTACTTCAGGAATCAACAGGTATAAAAGTCTGCATGATAATAGCTCACATTTGTGAAGAATATTCGATAAGCCAGGCAAAGTTTTGAGTCTTTACATGCATTATCTAGTCTAATCCTCACACTCACACTCTGATATAGATGCCGTTATTATTTCCAGGTTCCCCATGGGATTCACGGGGTGCTGGGGAAGAAGATTCCTTTTGCATTGACTCTGTTTTGGTTCCAGGAAAGGGATGGAGACATTTCTTAACCATCTGAGCCACCCAGGCGCCCAGGGATGGAGACATTTCTTAAGCACTGTCCACAGATCAGCAACATTTGATGGACTAGGGGCTTGTTTAAAATGTAGATGCTAGGCTGAGAGCAATAGAATCAGAATCTCTCTTCCGTGCTCTGCAGGTGACTTGGGAGCGCACCAAACACGGAACCACTGTCTAGCTGGTGAGCCCTGAGCATGTGGGAAAAGTTTGTTTCCTAGTGAACTTCTTTGTAATCTCACTGGTCATTTATGAAAAGAACCAGCTCAGAGAGTTCTAGAGGGGCTGGTATTTCCCTAGGAGATAGAATTTCCCTTTCCTTTTTAGTCTCATATATACGTTCCAAGAAGGTATTATGTATTTTTG